CCTACTATTTTTTTCAATCTGTATATATATCCGACATTCATTCTTACCCTTCTTTAAATTTTATATTTTTATCACAACCTTTGCATAAGACTGAATTTGGAAAATCATTATTTTAGAGGAATTAAATGTACCAATATTTTTTAAATCTAACACTTTTATATTTCTTTTTAAATTTTGTATACATAGGCTGACTTTCCATGTAATCAGAAAGTTTTACCGATCTTCTCTTCTTCATAAATATTAAAATTACATCTATTACTATTCCAATTTTTATTAATATTAATGTATTGCTGTTTTAAAAAATTAGAATCATCGTTAATTGTAACTATTTCAACAAATCTATTATATCACTTCGGTTTTTTCCCTGTAATATTTACATTTAGTTCTTTACATATATGTTCCATTTCATTAATTTTGTTTGTGACGCATCTAGACATTGTTCTAAGTATAGAATTCCTTTTTCTTAAAGAGTCTAGACCATTTTTTATACTCTTTTGTTGAAGAAAATATCTTCCATTTTAATATTTCCCCATAAATAAATTTTTAATTATCATTTTTAAATAAATAGTAAGGTCTAATTTTTTTTAGTCCTCAATGTAAAAATTTTTCCCAAATTTATGAATTTCTGAGAAAATTTCCTAGACAGTTTATTTGATTACAGTAAAATTATTATTGATTTATTTATTATGTTAAATAGTATCTAATTTATCAACTGTGATCATTTTAACAATAAAAAAACAATTTATTTATTTAAAATTTAATCTAACCAAATAAATAATAATGTCAAACTTACACGTTGAATAAAATAAATGAAAAATCTAATAAATAGAAAAATGATTTCTAGAGTTTTTAATTGACGTATTAAACTAGAGTATAAATTCGCATAGATATTTTTGTTACAAGAAAATTATGGCTGTCAACTCGAAAAATACTTAACGATGTACAACAATTTATTGCCAGTCCTCCAGGAAAATATTTTTCTCGAAAATACGTATAATGTTGGCCCAAGTTGCGTCATGTAACTATATATGGTTTATTAAATATTTGATGTTAAAATCCGAATTAACTAAATAAACAATTTTAAAAATAAATAAAAACAAAAGTTTACCACAAAATATATATATGATCACTTAATAATCAACCTTCTTTATTATTAATATCATCTAAAATTAATAGATTATATGGTGTATTGTACAGAAAATTATATCATCATCACATTACTTACCTTTTAATTGTAATGAGCTAGAACCTCCAAGTCAAATAATTGAGAATCTTGACAATCTATAAAAGAAATATAATTAGCAATTATGTAATTAAATATTTGATTAAAAAAAATTTATACCTTTATTGTTTTCTTCATCATTAAGATAACCAGTAATAATAGAAGAATTAACAGGTTTTGTTAAATTACTAAATGTAAATAATCTGCTACTATATATAGCATCAGGATCTTTCTCGTATGAAGTTGAAATATTCGGTATTTCTTTATTAGCTTCTTTAAATACAGCATTAACTTCTTTACGTTTATATCCATATTTTTCTTCTTCATTATCATGAGAAGAAAAGTTCCAAAAATTTATATTATCATGCAATTCACTGGCTGTTGGTCTTTGATTTGAATTAGCATTCATACATTTATAAGCTAATTTTTTATAAATTTCAGGAGTTCCTTTTCCAAATTCTGGTCTGAGTCCATTACATATCTCTAATGCTAAGGTAGTATCATGTTTTCTTTTATGAAATGGTGGTTTTCCAGATGATAATTCTGCCATAATTATACCAAAACTATAAATATCAGAAGATAATGAATATGGTTCTCCATTCAAAACTTCTGGGGCAATATATGGTAATACTCCACATATTTTATCATCCGATTTTTGTTTATTTGATGATCCAGATAATCCAAAATCTGAAATATAAGAAGCATTACTATTACTATCACTAGGATTAGTAGTTTGTAATATATTTCCACTGTGAAAATCTTTATGAAAATATCCTAATTCATGTAAACTTTTAAGACCATGTGTTATCCAATGTAAATAAAGTAATTTATCTTCCCACAAAGTATTATTGAAATTGTGTAAAAGAACGCTTCTCAAATTTCCTTTATCTGCATATTCTGAAATTATTATAAGTTCTTCAGTTTCTGGATCTTTGGTCATTCCATAAAAACTTAGACTTTCATTGTTTATTTGACATAAATCCCAAAGTATTTTAATCTATTATTTGTATTTAAATTAATGAAAAAATTTTTCAATTATTATTAAAGAGGTTAATTAAAATATGTAAAATTAATACAAAACTTACCTCATTTAAATATTCAGCTGACATATTCTCTGATCCATTTAACCTTTTCAATGCAACTTTGATAGGTTCAGATTTACGTTTTTCCCATCTTTTATTAAAATGTTTATATATTATTTTTGGACCATCAATCCACGTTGCAGAATATACTTTGGAAAATCCACCTTCACCAATTTGGTTTATATTTTTAAATTTATCAAATGGTACCCATTCAAGAAATTTACGATTCTTATATCTCGCATCATAAATTGTGTCTTTGATAAGTTTATCAATTTCATTATTTCCACTAGACCATCCTTCAATAATCATAAATGGATCGCATTCTTTACACCATAATTCTTCGGTAAGTGATTTATTACAATAAGAACAATTTTTATGACCAATATTCATTGAATTAGAATCTTTGTCAAGGATGTTTAAATTATTGAATTCAGATTCTATTGAAATTTGGGCTTCGTTTCCTTTATTCATCTTTTATGCTACTATATTTCAAAGTAGAAATTTCAGAGTAGAAATAAATTGTTGGCGTTATTGGCGCTATTTGCGTTACTATGTATTATATTTTCAATGGGGATAAAAAAGGAAAATCCAAATTAGAATCTAAATTTCGTATCACAGTAATACAGTAATAGGTTGATCAAATTTCTTGCTGCGCTAATAATGATATCATATAGCAGATTGGCAGTCACGCTCTCTTTAGGAATTTATTTAGCGTGGATGCCGCAATATGTTGGGTTAATTTATTTAACTATTAATTATCAGATTTCGTTTATACTAATAAAATTAATAAAGAAAATGGAGCTCATATATAAGAAAATTTTTCACTTAATATAATTGAATTATTATTATTATATTCCATCAGAAAAACGAAAATAATTATAATATTTGAAATTTTATATCATAAATATAAAAATCTCAGCCATAAAAAATATAGAATTTACGAGAATTACAAAGAAAATTTTAACATAATAGAATATTAAATATTTTTAAAATTACTCAATAATAGAAGATTTGCGTAATTCAATCAAATAAACTCAAAAAAATAAAAGCGGATGGATAAGTCTACACAGGAATAAATACACAGCAAAAAAAATTTGAAAGAAGTGACATCAATTTTGTAAAAAATATTATTTCGAAAAAGGAAATGAACGAATATCATGTAATATTGGATTTGTTAAAAGATCCGCCAAAATGACGAAATGTATCAAAGATTACTATAATATTCAGATGCTTTAGAACCGATATACGGATATAATAGAGTAACAATAGAATTAATGAGAAGACAAATGAAATACTTAATTAAAATGAGTATTTAACTCTTTTCTTTTTTATAATATATTCTTTTATATAATATAACATATCATCTTGCCCAACTTCTCCTCGTGTTCCATTATTATGTTACTAAATATTAATTTCTTAAAAAGTATATTGAGAATTTTTCAAAAATATTACAAAATCATCTGTATTCATTTATGAAATAGAAGAACAAGAAATATCAATAAATAAAAAATGTATGGAGAATCAATACTTAGGATTTAATTGAAATTACTGGTTAATCAATATGAAATGTGACGTTTGTATAAAATTTCTCTCATGTAAATTTCATTTTATGCATTTATTTTTTTTTCATTTAAAATTATATAAATGATAATATGATTGAAACTCTGTTATGTTTCTTATGTTTCTGATTTATATTAGATATAAAATTAAATAAACTAAAAAATTTTAAAATTTTGCCATCTGGTAAACTCATGTACTTTATTGTTATAAACTAGGGTTTTTTAAGACAATGTGAGTTTTATAATTATAAACAATTTTATATTGTGAACATTTATTATTCCAAAATGTTTTTAGCTATTTAATTATAAAATTTATTATTTTATTATTCTAAATAAATAAGACATTAAAAAACATCAAGTTTGATAATTTCAATAAAAAAAATGTCTTTTCTTTTTTTATTTTTGATTAAAAATGTATTTTGATCAAAAAAAAAAAAAATATCAATTTTTTTTTATTTTTTGATTAATCTATATAATTAAAAAAAAATTCAATGTCATGTCTTGTCGTCTAGACTACCGACCCTCTATATTAGTGTGACGTATTGCGTCTGCTCCTGACCTGTAGATTATTATTATGGTTAATCTATTTTTCGGCTAACTTTAAAAAATTTTTTTTTTTCTTTTTTTTATTATAAATAATTTGTAAATTAATAATTCTATTGCGCTAAAAGAATTGACTTTAGATTATTTATAATTAACTAATATAGCACATTTCGATTTTATATTTTACAAGTAAAGTAATTGGGAATTGCTAACCGTCGCCTGGGCGATTATCGCCTGGGTTTTTTTTTCGAATATGTCACATGATGTATAATATATAAATATAATTATTATCCATTTATAATTATTATTTTGCTCAGTTAGTTCAGTGGTTAGAACGCTCGATAAATTTTTTTTTTATCTTAGAAACGCAGGTTCGATTCCTGCACTGGGCCTTTAATTTTTTCAAATTTTTCATCATTTCGAACTTTTGTTTGAATTTGAGTTTGAACTTTGAATTCTGAATAACGCGCATTCATTTAATAAATTGTTACGCATTTAATTACAATCAGAAGTTACATGTTTAATCATAAATGCATTTTCAATTCTTTATTAAAACAAACGATAACAATTTGCTATCCTAAAATTCTAAACTAATCATTTTGTAAGTCGTTTAGATTTAGGCTTCTTTAGATTCTTTTTAAGTTCGCACCTACGTGCATTATGTCCAATGCCTTTACAGTGACTGCATACATACTGTGATCGTTGAGTACTAGCAGATCCACTTGACTTTTGCTTTTGATTATCTTCTAATGCATTCTTTATACGCTTTCTTTGAGCACCTTTTGTACGCGTCTGATAAGGGTTGCTAATATTTGGCAAATTTTCTTTTTTGATCTCCAGTTGCCTAGAACGAGTTTCATTTTCCTTCTCTCTTATCCACCTTTGCAACATTCCATTTAATTCGTCTTCACAGCCTATTTCAAGGGCTAGTCCAATTGCTTTTTTCGTGTAGCCAAAACCTTGATTATATTTGGCTTTGTGAGATAAATTTTGCTTGGCAGTTTTCTAAAATGCTTGTGTATGGCGAATCTCATGTAATAGGCTAAAATCCGTTCTAATTTGATGTTCATACGTGGGGTTGACAGTGTTCTTTTCTCTGTAAATTGCGATTGCAGGTTTTTCTTGAAAATCGGGAAATTTTTCATTGTACCATCGATCTGTAATGAGTCCGATATGAAACATAGCCTTATCCGAATTGAGCATCACTGAAAAGAAATGTTGACAAACTAATTCTCTCGCTACAAGCCACATGCATGTACACAAGTGATTAGCATTATCATATATCACCACGAAATGCTCTTTGTTTTGTTTAATTGTTGTTACACGCCAAACCTCATGAATGTTAGCATGATTAAGTTATGTAATTAGAGCATGTAGATTGATTATTGATGATTCATAGTCGTCTTCAGGAAAATTCAACTTTTCAGATCGTGTATCAACATCATCTTGCTCTTCATCATCAGATTGTTCTTCGCCATCAGATTGTTCTTCATCATCGGATTGTTCTTCATCGTCGGATTGCTCTTCATCATCAGATTGTTCATCATCATCATCACCATAATCACCATCTTCACCATCTTCACCATCTTCACCATCTTCATAATCTTCATCATCTTCACTGTCTTCATCTTGTCCTTCGCCAATGGTAATCTAGGTAGAAAATAGAATAAAATGTTGCGTGATTTGCAAGAAAATGCCAATGTTTTACGATTTATACCTCATTTTTGAGCAAATCATTCCAATCCTCTACTCTATTTGCATGATAAAGTAAACTTTCATTCATTTGATTGTGTTACATCTTTAAAACACGAGGGGTAAGAAATTTTTTGATGATGACGTCTATTCTTTTAAAGTACCTCCCGACAACGTTCGGCAAACCCACTGTTGGATTTTGATTTGATTGTTCATGCTGTTCGAATTTTTCTTCTTTGTTGAGAAGTGACTGAATATGTGTATCCAATTCAAACAACGTTGCTGAACTTTTGACCGATCGTTTAATTAGCGAATTATAACCTTCAACGCGTTTAGTTGACTGAATTCCTGCATTGAATGATCGACTAGTATGGCATAATGCTTAGCTAGTTACAACTTGTCCAAGTGCACGCTTTAGGTATTTTTTTTCTGCCGGAAAGCCAGTAAGAAGTTCACGCCATCTTTTTTGAAATTTATACTCTGAGAAGGAATTCTGGCATTTATTCCATGCTTTCACAAATTCATTGTAATTTTTACGAAGCCGACCTCTCAAATTTTTGTCAAGGTTTTTGCGCAGGTGCCAGATACAGTAATTATGTTTTGTTGATGGCAGTATTTCATGAATAGCTGAAACTATCACGGGGTCTGCATCAGTGAATAAAACATTTGGCGCAAGATTGTCTGTGGCAGACAGTAAACATTCCAGAATCCATTGATAGGTCTCTTTAGTTTCGTCTGAAACAATGGCAGTTGTGACCATACGCGAGCGTGCATGATTATCTACAACTATAGTAAGGGATAGATACATTCGATATTTATTTGTTTGCGATGTATTATCATTAATCGCAACATCGTAAAATCTACGCCACAGTTCTATCTGCGATGGTCTCATCCAGAAAAGACCTGTAAGGTGGTTGTCTTCGCCTTCCAGCCTCACTTTGACAAACCACCCGTGTTCTTCACGCTGTAATTTCATTAATTTTTCAAACGTTTCGGCAGCATCTGATTTTGATTTATTCTGAATGTTCCAAAAGCGACAAATCGCATTATATACGTACTTTGGATGTATTACTGTTTCAGGGAAACATTTTTGAAGTGCGCGGATAATTGAACCTGCTCCACAACCAATATTTACGAGAAATTTGATCTCCTCAAGAATTTCTGGACTGAGTTGACGATTTGATACGAAATTTTTTTTTTCAAGAGAGTGGTTATGTTCGTTGCATAGTGAGGTAACATATACGAGGTCACCAGTGAGCCGAAGATTAATATTCCAGGGACAATTCATTCTTACACTTTCACGTTCACAGGTGTCTTCTATGTCAGCTTTCTTTTGTGCACGATATACTCCTGAAAACTTGCACTTAAAGGTTCGACGTACAATCTCTCCTTTGTTTTTCTCAAGCCGAAACTTCTTTACTTCAAAGCCATTATTTTTTGCACAGTATACAACTTGTTTTTCGGCAAAGTCCCAGCTTTCAAACACATCTCCAACCTCAAGGACAAATAACACACAATCTTCTTCACTAGACACACTTTCATATTCATCTTGTAGCTCGTTAACGTCATCTATCTCTTCATCTGCTGAGGAGTACACCTCAAAAAGGTGACGCTTATGCACATTATCTATTTGATATTTCTATTTTGTAACTCTGTGCTTTGTGATAGAGAAAAGTGATTAGTTTTGGATAAATGATTAGTTTGGATAAAGAAGTTTGTTTTCTCTTGCCGATTTTGGCATTAACAGTACGCTTCTAGTGTGCAGCATGCTGTGTAATACAATAATACGTGATATCGTGATATATCATATGATCATTAGTATTCATAACGTACTAACGCGTTTTTACACGTGGTATTATATCGTTAACGAAAAAAATTAAAGGCCCAGTGCAGGAATCGAACCTGCATTTCTAAGATAAAAAAAAAATTTATCGAGCGTTCTAACCACTGAACTAACTGAGCAAAATAATAATTATAAATGGATAATAGTTATATTTATATATTATACATCATGTGACATATTCGAAAAAAAAACCCAGGCGATAATCGCCCAGGCGACGGTTAGCAATTCCCTTTTAATTTTATTGTAAATAGCATAAAAAATAATAAATTTCAGTAATACTATAATATTTTTTATATGGAAATTTAATCAAATTTAAAATCTTAATTTTTATTGGCTAATTTTGATTTAGAGTTAATTTAAATAAAATTATATAATTGTTAAATATAGATTTCTAGATAGTTAGTAATTACTATTATAATACTAATCAGTTTTAATATTAAATAATTTCAGTTTTTTAATTTATCAAATTAAAATTTTTAGTAAGTTTACCAATTAGTTTTAATAATTATAATTTTAGTATTAATTTTGTAATTTATCAAATTTTAGTTTACCAATTAGTTTCAATAATTATAATTTACTGAATTAATTTACTAATTAGTTAATGATTAAAAAATGTTGCAAAAATGTTTTTTATTAAGTAATTTAATAAAAAAAATATTTTTGTAACTTTTTAATTATTTTAATAAGAAAGATTATAAAAATATTTTATTAACAATTTATAAAAAAGATATTTTGCATGTTTTTTTAATAAAATATAATGCAAAATATTAAAAACTAAACTAATAATAAATTGGTAAATTAGTTTTTTAATTATTACTACTAATTAGTTTTTGTATTAATGATTACTAAAACTAGTTAGTTTTAATAATTAGCAATACTAATTATATTAGAATACAACCTAATGCATGTATTATGTACCTTAACAACTTTCTAATTGAACATGGTATATGTAATGGTACAATAGGTGTAATCACTGATATATTGATAAATTCAGTTTAATTTTAGTTTTGGTAAAAACTAAACTGAATTAAACTGATCAGAACTCTACTTCTAATACTATACATATAAAATATAAATTGTATTTAAAATAAATATTTTTTAATTTAATTAATAAAAAAATAAAATAAAAATAAAATAAATAAATTTATTTAAAGTAATATTTATTCTTTAAATTGTTTTATTACTTTTATAGGCAAATTTATAAATTAAAATAATATCATAAAAAATTTTAATTTTGATTAAATCATTATATGATTATAATTTTGCAAATATATTAATTTATATATTAACTGTAAAAGTATATTTAAAAAATTGTTTAATTTGCTAAAAATCAGTGTAATTTATAACTTATTAATTTAGAGATATTTAAAGTTTTCATAAATTAATATACAAATTAGCATTTTAATTTTTATATATTAAATTATTATTTCTTTTTAATTATAATTATATAAGTATTATATAAGAAAAAATTTATTTTTATCTAGATGATTTTTTACTCTGAACTATTTAAAAATAATGTTATACTAATCATTTGCCAATTATTTCCAAAAAAGGAATAATGTAATTTTTAATTAAAAAAAATATTTTTTACAAAAATAAAATTTAATATAAGCTCCATATAGTTTTTAAAATTATAATTTATGGATAATTTACTTGCTTTACAAATTTCAGTTATTTAATACCTTAAAAAAGATTATAAATACCATTTTTAATACTTATAATTTGAAAACAAGAAATACAGTAAATTTACTTATTATATAAAATATAATATAACTTTATTATACTGTAATAATATTATAATAAAAATAGTTATTTTAATAATTATTATATCATATGGGCTGATCTGACTCATTTCACTAATTAATTTCACGTGATATAATTGAGGGATCGGTATATATGATGATCTGCAATTCGAAGCGAAGATACATACTTTCTATTATATTTTTCTCTACAAACAATATAGTGGGAAATCGTGAGGAATTGTTGTCTTATTGGTCAGTCCTGTTTATACTATTTATTTGATTTTTAAAAAAATATATTAATAATACCTTCATCTTTAGCGTTTTTAATTTTTAGATTATGGTACCTATAAAATTTTTTTTTTTAAATTTTTTTTTTTTTTTTTTTTAAAAAAAAAAATTTCTTACGTTTGGCGACATACAACTGATAATTTTAAGGTGTTCAGCTGGTTATAATGAATAGTTCAGATCAAGTAAGTGGATAAATTATTATTTTTGCCATATATATACTTTTTTGTTACGTTAGATATGTTTTACTTATTTCATTTTTTTATTAGAATTCAAATTGTACTTTCGCTCATGATTACCCAAATAGCAATATAATTACTACTACTTATCATGAAAATAACAGAAAAACTCATTTAAGAAAGCATATTATTCATTCATTAGGTGTTTATCCTTCTAATATAAAAAAAATGAAAAAATCATCAAAAAATTGTCCTGAATATGAAATACCAGATAATTATAAAGTTGAAACAACTTTAGAAGGATATAAAATTGTTTGTGAGACAAATTATTTACTTGATGGAACAGTAAAGTTTACACTTAATTGGAAAGATTCACAGGGTATTAACCGGTATATATCAAATAACAATTTTGCTTCAGGCATCGCCAAAGATTTTTTAAAGGTAAATTTTTTTAAATTTTTATTATCATTTTATTTTATTTTATTTTAAATTTAATAATTTTCTTTTTTTTTAAAGCTATTAAATAAAAAAACTCGTGTTTCTGGAATTATGCTTTTTGGTTTTAATATTCCTTGTTTAATTGAAGCACGAAAAAATAATCCAATATATATCAATTGTAAAAGCTCTTTTACTACTCTTACATCACATTCACAATAAAATAAGCATATAAAAATACTAGCCAAAGATATGGAAAAGGAATCTCAAATTATTTTAAAGAAACAAAATTTTGACAACACAAAAATTCGATATATTGAACTAAAAGTTGGTGGTGATGAAGTAATTGGAATTGATTTATCAAAGGTTAATTCAGATTTTGCTAGAGTTCATCAAGATGCAATTGTTCGTGCTTGTGATGAAGCATTAATACCAAGAGATGGGTATAGACATTTAGCAGCTATTAATCCAAGTCTTGAAAGAGAATATCAAATTAGCGATAGATGAAACGAAATTTCTAAATATATGAAAACAATTATTCCAATTTATGATTGTAAAATAGATAATTTTAATAATTCTTCTAATAATTCCACAGATAATTTAACTAATGATCAAAGTAGTTCTTATTCTTATCGTTCAATAAATGATTTATTGAATTCTTTAATACCAATTTGAAAAAAAAAATCAATTTTAAATATTGGTGATAATATTAATTTAAAATTTGGTGGTGATGGCCATATAGTTACAAACAAATATTCTCATATTATGTTTACAATATGCTTACTTAATGAAGGAGATGAAGTATTAAAACCTGGAAATCAACAATACAAATTTATTAAATAAAATTTAAATTTATTATATTCAAATTTTAATATTTTATTTTTAAAGCATTTTATTATATATATGCAAAGAAAATTATGAAAGTCTTTCTATTGCAGTTTTTAAATTCAGTAATGAATTAGATTCTTTGAAAAGTATTGGATTTACCGATCATGATAATATTATGTGGAATATTGAGTTTTATTTTAGTGGTGATTGGAAGTTTATGGCGCTTATTAAAGGATTAAAAGCAGCAAATTCAAAATATTTTTGTTTGTTTTGTGAATGTCCAAAAGATTCATGCGGCAATTTAAATTTACAATGGAATATTTCAGAAAATAAAAAGGTATTTATATAAAAATTAATTTTTAATAAAAAATGTCGCTAAAGCTTGAATTTATTTAGACGTTGAAGATCCAAGTCTTTTTCCAGTAATTGAACTTAATAATTGGATCTCTGATGAATTACATATCATGTTGAGAATAACAGACATCTTAATGGATTGTTTATTTAAAGATTTAATGATGGATTTAAATGATTTTAAAAAGATTACTAAAGGTTTAATTGAAAAAGAAATGCAGAGAATTGGCTTAATATATTTTCAGTTTTTTGAATCAAAATCCAAAGGAAAGTTCTGGGATTGGACAACATTAACTGGATCTGAAAGACTAATAATGCTACAATATTTTGATGTAACAAAATTTATTGCAAGTGATCGTGGAAAGAAAATATCCTTTTTATGGAAAGAATTTCTCAATTTATATCAATTTTTACGTAAGGATTTATTCACTGATCCTGATATTGATTCTTTTGATTAATGTAAAAAATTGGATTAAGTTGTTTTGCGAACCTACTATTGGAAAATCAAATTCTATTAATCAAAAAAGAGGTATGTTTAATCCAACTGACATAACGCCATATATGCATGTTTTTGCATTTCATATCCCAGAGTTTCTGAGAAAATTATGTGATAAAGGATTAAATATGAGACAGTTTTCTACTTTAAGTATAGAAAAGAAAAATCATTTACACGTAAGATTATTTTTATTTATTGATTATTTAATTATTTTACTTATTTTACTCTATTTTAAAATAAATTTTTTTTTTTTTTTTAGGTAAAATTATTTTTTGGAGGAACTACCATGGGGGAAGAAAATAGCAATAGCAATCATTCTGTTTTACATGATATGTTATCTTTTGAAAATAGATTGTTATATTATATAATAAATGATACGCTCCAATGTATTAAACAAAGAATCATTCATTCATCTTGACTTTGAATAAAGTAACCAGTAGAAATTGTAAAAGAAACTACTAATTTTGAACTATGTAAAATCAAAGGTTTTTTACCATCACGAATTCTTGTTACTATAAAATCAGACCAAATAAAAGATACATCCTTTTTCCGCTCTTCACTTTCCATAAACACATAAGCCTTTGTACTACTAATGTGATTTTTTTCTCCCCAGTCTTTGCAATCAAATAAATATCCTAATCGATTATACAGGACCCCAGATATCTAATATAAAGGTCATAATGGACTTTTGGCCAAAAACACCTTTTTGCTGAAACTCAAAAAATCGTTTTTTGTAAATATCTCAACATCCAGTAATTCAATTTTAATGAACTTTTTTTTTATTTTGTAGCCCTCATTTAGCTCTACAATTTAAAAAAAAGTTCATCAAAATTGGACCACTGGATGCCGAGATATTTACAAAAAACGATTTTTTGAGCCCCTGAAAAATGGGCCAATCTGCCGAAAGTGTGACTTATGACCTGTTTTGGAGATATCCGGGGTCCTGATTATACCCTGCTTCTCCTGTGAAAATGCATTTATATTTTTTCAGATAAGATATATAGGTAAAACTTTCTTCATTGGAAAATATTTTAACAAATAACTCTTCATTAAATGGTTCACATATTAACTGTCTGGTACCGCTTTTAGAATGACCATATGAAAGCTTTTTTTCAATTCTAGCTAACAAAGAGTTCCAGAAACTTCGTACTTGAGTATCTGAAATATTGTCTAGTAAAGATTGTTGAATATGTGGAACAAGACGATTATTTGGATGTAATTGTCTTTGATGTAAGGAGAGTTTATTTTTTGTATAAAGAAGAGTTGAATTATCAGTAAATTGATACAAAGGACAAGTGGTTTTATTGGAAGAGCTTTTTGCGTTTTTTGACTTTTTCGCGTTCATAATTTTTTTGAAAGAAAAAGATGCTTCACTGTTTCACAAATCGCAATAATTAATTAATTAGCCAATCACTGATCATTACGATTTTATCACATACTTTTGCCATATGACATTTGGTTGACGCGTCAGATTAGCCCATATGTTTAAATAAATAATTTTATAATTGTTAATTTATAAAAATGATGAGTTTTAAATTTACAGTAAAATTATAAGCAAAATTTCTTGCAATTATTTACAAAATAAAATAAAGTGCTGATAAAATTTAAATTTTAATATAACAAAAAAAATCCAATAAAAATTATATTCAAAGATTATTATTACTAATCAGTTATTATATATATAATCTTATAGTTACTTTTTTTCTTTTTTTAGATATTAGTAATAATTATTATTAAAAAATTTACATATAATATAATTATTAAAAAAAATGAAAAATAATTAAACCTTAAAAGGAAGAGTAAATTTATATTAAATTAAATATTATAGTAATATATATAAACTTCTTTAGTGATAATATTTAATAAATTTTAAGATTATTTAAATACTTATCTGTTATTAAAAATTATATAACTTTACTAAGTGGTAAACAATGCAAACTTACTATATATAGACAGATATTTTATTAATAAATTATATTTAATTGGTTATTAATAACAGAATATGTATTTTCTTTATATTTTAAATAATAAATTATTTATTACATTAAATAATTTGTAAAAAAAAAAAAATTAATTATATATATTTATAAAATTATATATTTATAGTATTTAATTTTATAATAAAAAAATAAAAATAGAAATATATTTTTTTAATAATAAATTAAACTGTAAATATATATGTAAAATTACTATTAAATCAATTTTATATTTTTATAATTTTATTGAAATTTAATAATAAAAAGTATTTGAATATATTAAAAAAATTATAGATTTCTTTTATTAAAAAAATCTAATAATATAAATTTTAAATTTGAATTTTTGTATAGTTTAAAATTTTTGAAATATACCTTTAAAAAGGACCCCAGATATCTCCAAAACAGGTTATAAGTCACACTTTCGGCAGATTGGCCCATTTTTCAGGGCTCAAAAAATCGTTTTTTGTAAATATCTCAGCATCTAGTAGTCCAATTTTAATGAAATTTTTTTTAAATTGTAATTACTGGATGCTGAGATATTTACAAAAAACGATTTTTTGAGTTTTAGCAAAAAGGGGTGTTTTTGGCCAAAAGTCCATTATGACCTTTATATTAGATATCTGGGATCCTCTTTAAAATAAGGAATTTTTAAAAATTTTATATAATCAATAAGCAAATTCTATATGTAATTAATATATAAATTGTATGTAATCCTAATAATTAAAAGAAAAAATATATGTTAAGGACTTAAGGGTATGCCAGAAATCAGCTGATTTGAAAGAGGATGGAGAGAGTCAAACTTCAAATCAAGTCTATATATATCATATAACATTTATATATCTAAATATAAATATAAGTAATTTAATTATTTTTATATATAATTGTAAGGGAATTGGCATCCCTAGTGAAATGGCCTAATGCATCTACACTTCCTGTTGATCTGACCAATTAATAGAATGCAGGTTTAATCTGCATAGATAACGGATTATAAGAATATTACTGCGTACGCAGTTACCAATTATGTTAAAGATCCTGTACCTATAAGAGGAACTGAAAAGATGCCTACCGAATATGAAGTGGTAGAAGAGATTCATTGGTAGACTGATATGGCAAGAACATAAATAGTCACGATCTTAGACAAGAGATGGCAGCATTTTGTGGTGTCACTTGGTACCCAGATAGCCCTTTAGAAATATAATAGGTGTTAGCAGAGGCATCAACTCGTAAGTGGTTGTTCTCTATCCTTCATTGTGATATAATAACCAGGATCAACCAATGTTCATCCTGTAATATGACCACAGGTTGTCAATAGAGAGTAATCCCCCTAATACACTGCAGTCAGCCCTAAATACCAAAAATACCTACTGATATATTGTAGGTGGTTTGGAATGGGTTTAGGATAGTTCTAGTTGGGTCACCCTAAATCTCTTCACCAGGGTGGCGCTATTCTTGGGCGGTTTAATTATAGCATAGTTTAGATAACATTTGACTTTCTTATAGTTAGTTCTCATTTATTTTTTTGTAATCTTGTTCATATAGATATAAAAATAAAAATAAAAAATAAAAATATTTTTATATATAATTGTTATGATGCAATTATCTTGACTTCTAGTGATCCAATTACAATAAACTTTTTTTTAATTTATGAGTCTCATTTAGTTCTACAAATCTAGCTTTACAAAACAAAAAAAAGTTTATTCAAATTGAATCACTAGAAGTCAAGATAATTGTATTTACATTATAATAATTATTATAATGCAATTATCTTGACTTTTAGTAATCCAATTTTTTTTAATTTATAGCTCTCATTTATCTTTAAAAATCTAGCTTTACAAAACAAAAAAAGTTTATTCAAATTGAATCACTAGAAGTCAAGATAATTATATAATAACAATTTATTATTATATTTAATATATTAATAATAATAATTTTTTTAGCCAATCAGATTTCAATAAGATGGTAAGGGGTTAAGGCTACTAATTGAGAGAAATCAGCTGATTTCTGGTACGCCCCTAATTTAATATTAAAATATTGATATTGGTTTATATAATTCTAATGTGATAATTAATACTCCTTAATTTTTACTCCTTAAAATTACTTTTTGTAATACCAGAAATTTATACAAAGCGAGGGAGGAGTCCGGCAGTTTATTCGAAAATTAATTTTATCACGTGAAATTAATATCGGTAAAAAAAAAATAATAATTTCAGCAAAAATTAGCATAATCTTATTGTAAAATATTATGCGGGTCATGTCAGCACCGCGTGGTGGGTCAAGCATCATTAACGTTTGACCTCATCCAAAAACATATAAATGACGCAATCACAACATAATTTTTTAGAAGTGCATCACGGGTAATGATGTAATAATGATAAGTTATTTATCTTTTTATGGTTATTCTAGGCAAGGGATTTTGCAAAATTGCATTAAACCTGCAGGGTTTCTTTTTTTTTCTCAAAATATAAAAAGGTGTTTTTTTTAAAATTTTAAATAAGTAGAAATTGTTTTTTATTAAATAACGAAAATAATTCCTTTCCAAAGAATAACTTAAACAAACATGAGTACCGAAGAGAAAGCTTCTATTGCCTTTGAAGTAGAATTTAAAAAAAACCCAAATGCACCTATTCCGGATCATATTAAGTCCAAGTTGGTCGAGGAAGCAGGTAAAAATTTAAATGAAGACGAACTTCGAGCAAAAATTCAAGCAAAGCTTGACGCAGCAGAAGAAAGAAAGAAAAAAATGGAAGAAGAAAAAGCGGCTAAAGCAGCTCAAGAAGTAGCTCATGCCAAACAAGTAGCTGAAGAACAAAGAAGACTTTCTGATGCTCAACAAGCAGAAAATAAGGCCAAATTACAAGAAAATTTGGATAATGCTGAAGCAAGAAGAGAAGAAGCTCAAAAGGAGAAACTTGAAAAAATGAGCAAACTTGATAAGAAGCCTAGTCCATAGAAAATTGTAAGTATTATTTGTTTTTCCTTTCTTTTAGGTGACGATAGTGGACACTTAGCCTTTTTTTTTTGTAGTTAACCAATGGGTTTCACGAGCATGTTATACGTTATACGATTTTATAAATATATATAAATACACACCATTATATATGTCATGTCATTTCATTTTTTACTCATTTACTAAAGATCATCCTGTAATTTACGCGCATGTAAATTCTTTTGCAGTAAAATAAAGTTTTAATTCATCTAGTCCTTATTTGTTTTAATCCAAAACTAAAATAAATATTATTATTAAGTATTATCAATGATCGTATTTCATAATGTTTTATATTGATGAATAAAGACGTTCTTAAAATTCTTAAAATGTGGAGATTTACGAATACTAGAAAATCGAATGATCAAACTGTTATAAATAGAAGTATTCTTGAAATAAATTTAAATTATAATTAGAAAATTTCCCTGAAACTCTTTTCAAGTTACGCGTTAGAAATTATATGAACGTTGATTTAGTGGTAACTATCTTGGTTACACTACTTCCAAGAAATTATCACAAAGAAAATATTGATTTCCTAATGTAGCTTGTGCGAATTGCATGGAAACTTAATTAGTAATTTTTGTGACAAATTTGTTTCATTTTCATTAATTCTTTTTTCTTTTTTTCGAAAAGTTGAAAATTTATTTTAATATTTCACTTTCTTTTTTCTTCTTTTTTATATATTTATTTTTCTCTTTTCATTTCACTCTCCATTCTTTTCTTCGCCTTCAATCTCTCACTATAACGGTTACGGTAACGGTTACAGGTAATATACAAAGTGCGTATGCGCATTAGCATATATACATTATGTACTATATGTATTAATTAATTATTTGAACAAACCACCGTCTTTTTAAAGGTATTTTCAAAGAAAAACAACCCTTTAAATATCCTTCCTTCATTAATAACCATGAAGTCATTCAAGGTAAAGCCAACTTCGAATTAATTAAATTAAGGTTGAATTGGATAAAAATTAATTAAAATGGCGTATTTTTAGATAATGGTAATGTTATTTGTCATAGCATTAGTTGCTCTAATTAATTTGACGGATGCCGTTCCTCTACCCAATGATCCATCGACCGGTGAGATGGGTGAGTGTCTTATTATGTAATTGGAAATTAAAAACAAGACAGTCTATGTCACGTGAAAATAACAATTATTATATTACATTTATTTAGAATTACTCCTTGTCGAGAAACCTACTATAATCTATGTCAAGAGAGATTTGCCAACAGGAAGTGCCAGTGACCCTGATATTATTGCTCCTCCTTCTCCTGAATATAACAACGGAAGTCAATTAAAAAGACTTGCCATTCCAATTGGTGTTGTATGTGGTGTAATACTCGGTTCCATTGTTTTATATCTTGTTTGGAAATGGTGTTTCAAATCTTCAGAAAAATAATGGAAAAAACATTTTTTTTTATATATATTTATTTGTATACAGTATTTATATACATATAGAATAGAATTATTAAGTTTGGTGTTGGCGTTGGATATAACTTAGAGGTTAATTGGTAGTTAATGTTTTATATTATATTATATTAATTAATTATTTTCGTTAATTCCCGAAATCTTTTTCTTAGAACATGTTTTTTTAATTTTTTACAACCGAATGAAATTTATTCAATGTTCCAATTATGAATTTTTCCATCTTAGTCCAAAAATTTCTTATTGACTGAATTAAGTAAAATAGATTAATGTAATACTTGTTACTAGTGCAAATTTGGTTAATAATTAGTAACCCTATTTGGTCTCGCACTTTTGCTCAATTCAATATATATATATACTTATATTGCTTTTATTGTACAAAAATTATATTATGTAGATACAATTCCTTATATAGCAGTAACATTTATTAAATTATCTTAATCAAACGCATAGAAATTCGATCCGTTGAGATTACAGTTGCATGTGTAACCTATTTATGTTTCGCAATAGAAAAAAATCTCGGGTAAAATGGTAATCTAAGGGTTTCCTGTAACTTTAAAACGAATAAGCGCGCTTTTTACCGAATTTAGAATACTTTAAAAAAATTTGTACGCTAATATGCAAATACTAAATTATAAAGTAATAAACAGTGAACACTTAACTAAAACTTTTCCCTATTTTTTCGCTTCTTTTATTAAAATTCCCCCTTCCCTCCTTTAACCCCCCAAAATAACACGCACAAACTTTAAAGTTATTATTATTATTATTAACTTTTCCTACCTTTTTTTTATTTTTATTTATTCTACAATATTTTATATATGAAATTTATAATAAAATGACTACATCAGTCCTAGTAGTGAGGGCATTATACGATTTTAATTCAAATGATAGTTCGAGTTTATCTTTTAAAAGGGACGACATTATACAGGTGCTTACACAACTAGAATCTGGCTGGTGGGATGGGCTATGCAATGGTGAACGTGGGTGGTTTCCAAGTAATTATGTAACAGCCTATGAAGAGGATGATTTACTCGACGATGAGGAAAAGGTTTGACTTTTTTTTAAAAATAAAATTTTTTCTTTTTTTAAAAAAAACAACAATTAAGGAATTTTATTAAAAAAAAATGTTCTTTTAGTTATCAGATTGGATTCCTCAACAAACTCCGGATGGTGAAATTTTTTATTATAATACAAGAACTCAAGAATCGGCTTGGGACCTACCAATTGATGATAATGATTCAGAATCTATTTCAACTAACATTAGAGATACAATGAGTAGTAATAGAAGTTTGAGAGAGTTACCAGAAAATTGGATACAAAGACCGACAGAAGACGGTAATACTTATTATTATTTTAATGTTGAAACTAAGGAGATTAGATGGACTTATCCTGGGAGTGGTGCTACTATTTCTGATAATTTCGATGTTGATGAGGAAAAAGATGACGAAAGAATTGATTCGCATGTTACTTCTGCTCTTGTAGAAGTAAATCAACAAGATTTAGAAAATAATGAAATTGCCGATAAAGCAAGTATTGCAAGTTCACAAAGTAGTCAATTAAGTTCAACCACAGTTGATACTATTCGGCAAAGATCTCAACAAAGAAATTCAATTGAAAATGTAAGTTAGTAAATCATTATTATTTTATTATTTAAAAAAAAATTTCATTTATCGTAATATGCTGATTAATGAATTTTCGTGGTTTAGCTACCACCAAATTGGGGCCAAAAAACGACACCTCAAGGGAGAGTGTATTATTACAATAAATTGACAGACGAGACAACTTGGAGTCTTGATAATATTGATGCCGAAGGTCATTTAGTAAGTAAAAAAAAAGAAAAATTCTTATGGTAAAATAATAATAAAAAAAAAACTAAAAATTATTTATTATTTTAGATAAGAGTTGAAAATGGCAATATGCCAAATGGAAATGAGTCGGGAGATGAAGTTCAACATGAACCATCATCTCCAACTTCCTTAAATCAACTAGATCAACCTAGAAAATTCTCAGAATCCTCACTTTTCATGCTTCAAAATTCTAATGAACTCACATGGGATTCCTTATCGCAGAGTATTGGTATAGCTATTCAAAACCTTAATTTAGCGGCTAGTGAAAATCTCAAGCAAAATTACACAAATTGTACTAACGATATTGTTGAAAGTATTAGAATTATGCTTTATGCATCTGGAACTGTTGAAAAAGACTCACCTGCAATTAGACAAGATAGGAATCTAAAGAATTATCACAGGCATATAATGGCTTCACTTTCTAAATTAGTTCTTTCAACAAAAGTAGCTTCAGGTGTATGGCCTCCACCGGATTCTGCTCAAAAAATGAGAAACGATGCTGATGAAGTTTTAATGGCTGTTCGACAATTTGTTCAAGCTGCCGAACAGACCGTAAACATTAAAAGAGTTGATCCAAAACTCCTTGAAAGCGCTACAGGTGGTTCGTGGCGTGGTAATAATTTGTTGTCTACACAAACAAATGGAAATAAGATAACTAATGGACGAGTACCAAAACCACCATCAATTTCATCAAGTGTAAATTCGCAAGATAACAATAGCGCTCCAAATTCACCTACAAATTTTACAAATTTACGTCCTTTGACACTTGATCTTATTGCTTCATTGGATCAGATGTCTCGTACTGTAAATCAAGCTATCCAATTACTTCTTAATCATATTAAAAAAGTCATTGATACTCCTTCCAATTTAAGTATAAATGTTTCTTTTTTTCCTCAACTTATTTCACAAACAAAACAAGTTGTTACTCAAGTCGGACAGTTTTTACCTTTAATTGAAGAAATAAATTTGGAGGAATTAGATGAATCTAGTTTAGGAACAATAAATGAATTTAATATCGTCAAGCAAGCATTATATAATAATATAGCAAAATTAGTTATTTTCGCCCAATCAGCAACTGATCCATTAGCTTCATTAAATGCTCTGGACCAAGTTTTAGTTTCTACGAATATGGTAGATAAAGCAATTAAAGATGTGGTTATTGCTGCAAAATTCCTTGTTGAAGAGAAAGCTGAACAAGAACAGAATAAACTGCGTTCAAGAAGACCTAGTGTTGTTGAAACTCCACCAACCAAGAGGCGTATAACTTCAAGTTATAGTACAAATTCTACTTCATCTAATAATAATAATGCCCTTGATCAAATCGTGGAGAATGACTCAAGTGATTCAACAGAAAATCAACCTAATCCGATCTCTCCAGTTTCCTCTTCAGCAACAACAGGTTTACAAACTGTCCCCGAGAATGATATTATTTCAACTAATGGTTCAACATTAATTGGTGATGTAAGTCCTGATGAATACGATGCTCAAGTTTCACCGACTTCAGCTAATTCAGCTAATGGACGACCAACTGGCAATCGCGCTCGTTCTGATAGTACTGTTTCTTCTAAAACATATAATGATACTGCATCATCTCTTACACATCCCCCTTTACAACGTTCACAAACTCAGCCTATTCTTTCTTCATCGGTTTCGGCTGATTATCAATTTTCTCCATCTCCCTCACCTACAGGTGGGAATTCGGGTGGGACGAAATCACCACGCACTGAAAATAAAGTTACTAAATTCTTTGGAGAGGATGTTCCTTCAAATCTTACTCAACCAAATAAGCAAAAAGAAGATAAACCTTGGTTCCTTAATTACGATTATGAACCATCTGAAATGATATTTAATATGGAAAGTTATGTCAAAGGAGGAACTCTTAATGCTCTTGTAGAAAGATTGACCATGCATGATTTATTAGATTCGAATTTTATTGCTACATTTTTGTTGACGTATAGGTCTTTCTGTACAACAGATGAATTTTTTGATATGTTGGTTAAAAGATTTATGATTCAACCACCCGAAAACATAACTCCCGAAGAATTAGAAGTTTGGCAGGAAAAAAAACAAACGCCTGTTAGACTAAGAGTTTTTAATATTATGAAAACTTGGTTAGAAACGTATTATATAGATGGTCAGGATTCGCATTGCCTGGAAAGAATGAGGGAGTTTGCAACTACAACAATGCATGAAAATATGGCTTTTGCAGCTGTGAGCTTAATAAAAGTAATTGAGAAAAGGGTATGTAATTATATATGTATATTTTATTTTAAAAATTTTTTACTTATTTATAATGTATTTATGTCTTTATAACAGCAACAACAACCTAAAGATGCTGTGTTTAAGGCACTGGTACTAACGAATAGCGATAGGCCGCCAGTACCAATTTTACCAAAGAATATAAAGAAACTCAAATTCTTGGATATAGATCCCCTGGAAATTAGTAGACAGCTAACTTTAATTGAATGTAAATTGTATAATAAAATCCAACCTGTTGAATGTCTAGATAAGGCTTGGAGTAAAGAGGAAGGTGGTGATATAGCAGCAAATATCAAGGCCATGATTGTTAATAGTAATCAGGTAAATTTTAATTATATAAAACTGATTATTAATAAATTTTTTTTTTTTTTTATTTGAATTTCTTCGAAATTTTTTTTGAATTTTCTCGTACTTTTTTTATTTTGGTTTGATCTGAAATTAGATAACTGGATGGGTAGCAGAATCGGTTTTAAATCAATCGGAGGTCAAAAAGAGATGCTTGTATATCAAACATTTTGTAGCAGTAGCTGATAAATGTAGAGCTTTGAATAATTTCAATTCGCTTACAGCTATTATCTCTGGTTTGAATTCTGCACCTATTCATCGTTTAAAGCGTACTTGGGAAATGGTTAATACAAAAACAATACAGACACTTGAGGCTCTTAATAAGATTATGAATTCAACAAAGAATTTCGCTGAATATCGAGAAATGTTACACAGTGTGAATCCACCATGTGTACCATTCTTAGGTAATAAAGACATTTTTATTACTGCCCTATTGATATCATATTTGAGTATTCGACATTTAAGGGTCCTTAAAAAATGAGATTTAACAAGTTTTTTTGATTTTTTAGGTGTATATTTAACCGATCTTACATTTATTGAGGATGGTAATCCAAATACCCTCAAAAAATCACGGCAATTGATTAATTTTTCAAAACGCATGAAGACAGCAGAAGTCATACGTGAAATTCAACAGTATCAATCTGTACCTTATAATCTTGCTGCAGTACAAGAAATACAAATGTTTATAAAATGTCATTTGCAAGATAGCCGAGATGTTGGAGATTTGTATGACCAAAGTCTTAGCATGGAACCAAGGTAATTAGTGTTTTTTTATTTGTTCGCAATTCTTATTTGAACGATATTAAATTGAAAGCTTTAGGATACTTAATAGTATAGAAGAGTTCTTATTAATTTTGGAGAATTAAATTTTATTATATGTTGGTCAATAATGTTGTTTGAATACAAATATCTTTACTAACTTAATTTACATGTAATTAATAATAGGGAACGAGAGGATGAAAAAATTGCTCGCTTATTACAAGAATCTGGCTTTTTATAAAGTTTTCCAGAGCAAATCTTCCATCCGAAACGCCGATTTGTTTAATTTCAAACAAATTTCCATATTTCCGCATCATTTTTTACCCAACGCAGTTCTTTCCGTTGTTTATCGTGAGGTACGATTTAAAGAAAAAACATTAGCCACGTATAAATTACCCTCTAAAAAAAAATAACTTTTAAAAGATAATTCCCTATAATGATTAGATACTGAAAAAATAAAACAAAAAACAAAAAAACAGAGGAAAAAAAAAAAAAAAATTAAAGCAGCGAGTAGAGATTCGCTTGGAAAAACAAAAAAAAACTTAATTTTTTTTTTAAGATTGGTGCAAAAAATAAATAGAATCCGTAAGATTTTTATTGTTAAAGGTTGTTATAGGGAGCCGAAAAAAAAAATAATAATTATTACGAACAACTAATCTTATTATGAACCTCTATGTTATGAACCAAAATTTAATTTATAGTTTAAAAGACAAATCCGTTCTTGAACATATTTAAATTTTATGTAAGTAAATTATTTGGAGTTATACATTGTATATTTTTTTTCTCTCTCAATTAATTGAACTAAATATAATATATATATATATCATACATTTACATTCTTATCCGTTTATTCGTTGATCATTGAAAATTAAAATAAAATAATGTACGTTTTGATAATTACCCTAAACCAAATTTGGCAATTTTATCATTGATGACAAATTTACCTTAGGAGTTTCTTAATAGAGTAACTTATTCCAATACTTGGGATTATATACTGTAGTATTTAATAAATAAAAAATGAATTAAAAAAATTTGAAGCTATTCATCCAAAAGATTTTTTTTGATTACTTATATATATTTAAATATTATTAATTTACTAAGTTTGAAATTTTACTTTACAAATTAATGTATTTTTTAGCTTTTTTATTATACTTATACAACATTATTATAAAATAAATGTTAAAGTAATATTTAATATTTGTAACTATTTAGAATATTTTGCAATAATTTATAAGTAATTATAAATTAACTTGATATTTATTATCATCATATTTTTATTACTATTAATTTTTGTAAATAATTATTATATTAAATAATATATATTTGTATAATACTAATTCTTATTATATTTATAAATATTTATATTCTATACTAACTTTTAAAAATAGCATTATTTTATACAGCCACTCTTAATATAATGAACCCTCAGGTTTTTATCTACAAGATTATAGTAAAGAATTCAAAGAATTTAATTGGCTGATTCATTATAATAAGAGATATTTGACATATTTGGTTATGTATTGAAAAAATTTTTAAAAGTTAACTGTAATAATAAAAAAGTTTCAAAAATAAAATAAATATTAAATAATAAATATAATATATAGTATAAAATTTTATAAAATTTTTTTTTTAAAAAATAAATAAATAAAAGAAAAATATAAAAATATTATAAAAATAAATGATATAATAAATTATATAATTAATTGTAACATTAATTTATATATAAAATATATAAATAAAAAATAAACAATATTTTTAGATTAAAAATGCAGTTTAACTATTTAATTAATTTAAGTTTATTTAAATACTTTTAAAATTAAATATTTAATTTTTATTTTATCTTACTTCAATTTTTATTTTTGCAATAATAAAAATATATTATTAATAAAATTAATTAATTATTTTATTTTTTAATTAACTATTAATAGATATATAGTTAGATCTTCATATAATTACTTTTTACATAAAATTACCTCCTTATAAGCACCTATTTTTACTTAATTTACAGTTCTATAAATTATTTTTATTAATAAATTAACTTATATATAATTACAACTCTATATAATCACTGAATAAATTAGGTGAATATATAGGATGGGAAAAAGTTCAAATCCTGGATTTAAGATTGCCTGCCCTATAAAAAGTCTACATCCTTAAACTGTACTAGTTTTATGGTTAAAATATCCTTATATAGTAATAATATTCTTAAAATATACTGAAATT